CTCTCTAATTCTTCTAGTGTTTGCAGTGAAGCTCTTGCCTATTTCATCACCGTGAATTCTGAAAGCCATCGGGAGGCCTGGACAAGTCTTCTGTTGTTACTTCTAACCAAAACCCTCAAAATAAATGATGAGAAGGTATGAACAAGTAAACTCTGACGCTTCCACTAGGACATAAAGTTTGGGTTGGCTTTCCACTCAAGAGTTTGCAGTAACTATTTTCTCAGTTCTCCCAAGGATGGCTATGTGACTGTCAGCACCATTCTAGATGCATTGGAGAGAAGTTAATTCATTACAGACAATGAGTGCCACAGGATAGTAGGGCTTTTTCTTAGAAGAACTCTAGTTGACCAAGGCTGAAATTTAGACCTCATGTGTTGCTGTTAGGCATGGTATGGTGATTTCCAGTACAGCAAGAGAGGGTTGAGATTGTGAAGCACTGGTTTTGACATAAGAACTTGCTTTACAAAATAAAAGCTATTGACTTTTGGTAGCGAGACTGTCCAAATAGATTTAAAGTTGAATATAACTGAAAGAAGCTTTAATTTGCAAGATTTTCTTTCAACTTCTTTTGTTGTTTTTGTTGTTGTTTTGAGACAGTGTTGCTCTGTCACCCGGGCTGGAATGCAGTGGCACAATTTCAGCTCACTGCAATCTCTGTCTCCAAGGCTCAAGCGGTCCTCCCACCTCAGCCTCCTGAGTAGCTGGGACCACAGATACACACCATGTGTATTTTTGGTGGAGATGGGGTTTCACCACATTGCCCAGGCTGGTCTTGAACTCCTGAGCTCAAGCAATCCACCTGCCTTGGCCTCCCCAAGTGCTGGGATTACGGGCATGAGCCACTGAACCCAGCCCCAACTTTCTAATAGCATGAAAAGCACCAATATAATAAGAAGTTGCAGGGTAGGCAAAGTGCAGTGGCTCATGCCTGTAATCCCAGCACTTTGGGAGACCGAGGTGGGCAGATCACCTGAGGTTGGGAGCCTGAGCAACATGGAGTAACCCCATCTCTACTAAAAATACAAAATTAGCTGGGTGTAGTGGTGCACACCTGTAATCCAAGCTACTTGGGAGGCTGAGGCAGGAGCATCGCTTGAACCCAGGAGGCAGAGGTTGTGGAGAGCTGAGATCGCACCATGCACTCCAGCCTGGGCAACAGAGCAAGACTCTGTCTCAAAAAAAAAAAAAAAAAAAAGTTTAGGGTGAGATGAAAACTTTTGAAAAACTGATGCCAAAATAAGAAATTTATTGTCTAATTTTATCCATCTACTTCTCTCCTACCTCAAGTTCAAAGCACATGCTTCAATGTACTACCCCTACTTGTGTGAAATTATGCAGTTTGACCTGATCCCTGAGCTCCGAGCAGTTCTGCGGAAATTCTTCTTACGGATAGGTGTTGTGTATAAGATATGGAGTCCAGAAGAGCCATCACAGGTACCAGCAATACTGTCACCAGTGTGGTAGCCATGGCTGCCCAGGCCACTGCTACAGCTCTGCAGAATGTTCAGCATGCCATCTCTGACTGGCACGTCTCGTGAAGGGTCAGAGAAACAAGGAATTGACATCTTGGATCTCAGAATGGCCTGGATACAGATGGCCTCTATGCTGCTCCATCACAGTCCCCAACTAAGGCTTATGGTATTTCATTAAACTGTTGCATACCCAGTTAGTACAGTAGGTGGGGAGTCTGCTTCATTTCTGTCATTCCATTTTTCTTATTAAACTGTCTATCAAATCTGTCATTGCACATGCCATCATTTTCTAGCAAAATCCCATGATTGGCTATAAATTTTTTGTAAGAAGTAGTCACTCTCCTTCAAAATACTGCACATAGCTATATTGATTCATGATAATTAGAGAGTATGTTAATAAAACTTCTTGTAACGGCTAACTGCCACCTAAAATACGCTGGGTTTTTTGTTGTTGTTTGAGTGTGTTAGAGAAATTTGAGTGTTTTTGTCAGTTACAAGTCAGCCGTAATTAGATTAGTTTAGGGCCAGATAGGGATTAGAGAAGGGTTGTTTTTTGTGTTTTGTTAATGTCTGAGTGATTTTTAAAGTATTTTCCAAAAAGATACTGAAAATTTAGTTGAAGGCAGAGTTTACTAACTAAGCTAGAATTAAGAGTTTTGCGAGGTTAAAAAAATGTACCTCATGGACCTCCCTGTTTTAGTAATGTGGGGAGGAAAAGTCTAGAGAAAAAAGTGAGCAATTGAATGAAGATGATTAGCCTTCCTTGAAGTATTTGTGGATGGGTGTTATATTAAAATTTCCAGAATACACTATCCATCTCACACACTCTGAAATCTAATATATGAAGTAGTAATGAAAATGAAGTAGTAATTTAACCAGAGTTCATTTATCCTTGAATAAACCTTTTTATTTTTACCTCAGAAAAGTGAGTATACTGGCGGTTAGTGTCACTGCTTTGCACGGTCCCCATTAAATGACCCTCCAGAGAGGGACAGTAAGTGCATGAGAAGCTGCTCCCGTGAACTTCCTCGCCCAGATATCATGGGTGGAACTGGAGATGTGGTGGGCCAGCACAGCTGAACTGTGACAATGGCAGGAAGTGACATGTGCCCAGCACTTCCATTAGTCTGACCCTAGGAGTTGAATTCTTTGGCAAGGTTAGATTCTGAGGTCCTATTAATAATGTTAATGATGGTGCAATTCTCTCACCTGCAGTAGAACTGAGTTCTGATGCAGCTTGTATAAAAGCGGGCAGTATACAAGTATGACCCGAAGCCTGTGAGCAGTATAGTGGATGCTCACCCATGAGGAAGAGCACACATGCCTCATTCTCTGTCCTTACCCACTGCTCACCTAGAGCATCGCTGAGCGTTAGACATAAGTGTACGCGGAGTGATTAAAACATTCAGACTTCTACCTACACTCTTTAGTCCTCTAAATTGGGTTGTATTGATGTCAACTCTGGTGCCTTAGAAGTTAGTAGTTTGGGAATCTATCTGTAAAATTGGATTTTTTTTTTTTTGTAGAGAAGGATTTCTGGTGCTTTTGCTAAGAGACTGATACTCTTAAGTTGTTTTGTTTTTTTTAACAGCCTTGAGAAATGTTTGGTTTTTGGCCAGCAGAATTCTTGTCTACTTTTTTCTTTCCCAAAAAGTGTTTTAATTTCTCTACCAAAGAAAAAATGAGCAGGTTTAGGTTTTTACATTACTTACATACATTAGATAAAAGAACCTATGTAATTCAGCAGGAAAGGACCATGGGAGAATACTGAATGGAAAATGTTAGCACATTTGACTGGCTTGCCCTGCAATCCACTATACCTTTACACTGCACCGTGAATCCTACGCTCCCTAGTATCATAGCATGTCACCACCTCAACAAGTCAGTCGTCTCCATTGATATTTGTACTAAAGGTATAAATGAGGAACACGTTCATTTATGAAGTCCATCTTGCATGTAGCTATATCCCTGATTGGTTATTTTTCCTTTCCTTCTGAGGTTCTCACGTCATTTTCTTCATCGAATATGACTGTAAAACTTCCTGGTGTCTTCCTGCCCTCTCTTTAATTTTGTCTCTTGCAGGGTAGCACATGTGTCAGTGTATTTTAGTACTTGCTGAAACATTCAGGCTTAAATTTCTTATTAGTTTAGTATTTTAAAGATTTGATTTTCTGAATGAGGCATTTGAATTGTACCAGCAATGGACTTTTAAAAAATTGGATGTCAAACCATTCAGGGTAATTTTTCTTGTCAGTGGACAGTGACGAACAGAGGAAATCCTTTACCTCCAATAATAAGCCATTCAGCCTAAATTCTTTTTTATGAACAAATCTGTTCTTTCTCATGGTAAATGTGGCTTGTGCCACTCAAACACTAGTGAAAGGGTATGTACAACTGCAACATCAGGCCAGGACACCATATATTTAACCAAGTAATGGAGGAGAGTGAAACATTTTCCAAGGCCTTATTTCTTTTTCAGAATGCTTTAAGTGTCGATTATTATATGCTGAGTCTCTAGAGAAGTTTTTATTTGTTACAATACTGCTGCTTTGAGCAATTTTGTTTTTCTTCATTGTCTGTTAAGGAAATCACCAGCTTTGGCATCTTAACAACAAACAGTGAATGAATAATTTTTATTTCTGATATGCATCATTAAAGTCAATTATATCTTTTCCCTGTACTCCTCATGTACAACCAAAGAACATACATTATGAAAAATGTATTATAATATCTGAAAACACATTTTCCTCTGACAGGTGACTTTTGTACAAAATGCAAAAAAAAAAAAAACCTGTACTTTTTTCATTTATTTTGTGATTAAGGGTACAATTAATAGTCTTTGTTGTAAAAGGAACCTACTAACAAGTGCAAGTATTACCATCTCATTCAAATGTTTGTTGTTATCATGCAAATGGATATTGGTTTCAGTAGAAGCTGGATCCTTAATACTGCATTTTCTGAATTCTGTTTTAATATTTGTGTTAAAGTAGACATAGCTGAACTCACTTGAAATCCTGGAGTTTTGTTATCAGCAGCTTTGCAGTTTGGGAAACAAAGAAACCAAAGCTGAATATTTTAAAGAATGAATATATCTGGAAATCCTTGCTCTCAAAACAAAACAATATACTCTATCAAAGGTGTTGTTTTACTCAGTGTTCTAATTTTTAAAAAATTTTATCTGCATATTTGCATCAAATATTTCTTTATGTGCAAAATGTATGTTTTACCTCCTTAAAATGCCTAAAAGTTAATTAATAGTTACTTTGGTTTAATCTATACACAATGATTAAGTGCATTTAATATTGTTAATTTAATGAAAAGCATTCCTTGCCCAATGGATGTATAAATTTTTGAAAGAATAAGCAGAATTATATAATATGAAATGCTATGTAAAGTTTTCTATGTAAAAATATTATGTATAATACTGTTAAAATATCCCATGCTTTGATCAGGTGGTAAATCAATAAAATTTTAAAAAGTATAGCTGTTTCTTTTTTTTTTTTTTTTTTTTTGGAGTTTCACTGTTGTTACCCAGACTGGAGTGCAATGGCACGATCTCGGCTCACCGCAACCTCCGCCTCCTGGGTTCAAGCAAGTCTCCTGCCTCAGCCTCCCGAGTAGCTGGGACTACAGGCGCGCACCACCATGCCCAAATAATTTTTGTATTTTTAGTAGAGACAGGGTTTCATCTTGTTGACCAAGATGGTCTCGATCTCTTGACCTCGTGATCCACCCACCTCAGCCTCCCAAAGTGCTGGGATTATAGGTGTGAGCCACCGTGCCCAGCCAGTATAGCTGTTTCTAATGTAGTAATTTAAAAAAACATATACCAAGCCATAGTTTTCAGTTTATGTCCCTCGCTGATCAAAGGGGGAAAAAATCCAGTCATGAGAAGATTCTTATATGCCTCTTGAGTCTATTAACTTTTTTTGTTGTTGCTAGTTATAAAATTTAATTGTAAGGATCAGGCAGTGGCTATTGGTTGAACCAATACACATTGACAGCTTTGAAATATTCAGTTGCTGATTTATTTATTTATTTTTGAGACACAGTCTTTCCCTGTAGCCCATGCCGAGAGCAGTGGTGCAGTTATAGCTCACTGCAGCCTTGACCTCCTGGATGCAAGTAATCTTCCCACCTCGGCCTCCTGATAGTCGCTGGAACTACAGGGCCAGTAGAGTAGTGAGACATCTTGCCTAGCCAATTTTTGTATTGTTTTGTAGAGGTGGGGTTTGGCCATGTTGCCCGGGCTGGTCTTGAACTCCTGGCCTCAAGTGATCCTCCCACCTTGGCCTCCTAAAGTGCTGAAATTACAGGCGTGAGTACCATGCCAACTGAGATACTAATTTTTAAGTCAATGTGACAAATAACAATCGGATTCACATAACATTTAACATTGTCTACATAAATTTTATTCTGGACATAGTTCCATACACAAGGGTAAGAGACTGACAGTGTAATCCCCAATAATTAAACTAAAGGTGTAATTTTCCAAATCACTTTTAGTAACACAATAAATTCTAACTTGTTTAAAAAAATAGACATGTGGGGGCCAGGCACGGTGGCTCATGCCTGTAATCCCAGCACTTTGGGAGGGCAAAGCAGGCGGACCACGAGGTCAGAAGATTAAGACCATCCGGGGTGACAACCTACCCACTAGAACATGCCTCTCGCAAAGGATCTCCTTCATCCCTCTCCAGAAGAGAAGAGGAAACACAAGGAGAAAGGCCTGGTGCAGAGCCCCAATTCCTACTTCATGGATGTGAAATGCCCAGGATGCTATAAAATCACCCCAGTCTTCAGCCATGCACAAAAGGTAGTTTTGTGTGTTGGCTGCTCCACTGTCCTCTGCCAGCCTACAGGAGGAAAAGCAAGGCTTACAGAAAGATGTTCTTTCAGGAGGAAGCAGCACTAAAAGCACTCCGAATCAAGATGAGTGGGAAAACATCTCAATAAACACATTTTGGATTTAAAAAAAAAAAAAAAAAGACCATCCGGGCCAACGTGTTGAAACCCCGTCTCTACTAAAAATAAACAAAAAAGTAGCTGGGTGTGGCAGCACACACCTACAGTCCCAGCTACTCAGGAGGCTGAGGCAGGAGAATTGCTTGAACCCAGGAGGTGGAGATTGCAGTGAGTGGAGATTGTGCCACTGCACTATAGCCTGAGCAACAGTGCAAGACTCCATCTCAAAAAAAAAATAGAGATGGGGTCTCACTACATTGGCCAAATTGATCTTTAGCTCCTGGGCTCAAGTGATCCTCCCACCTCAGCCTCCCAATGTATTGGGACTTTTTGGTTGTCACAATGGGGAGGGGGGATAGTGACTGGCATCTAGTGTGTAGAAGCTAGGGATGCTGCTAAACAGCCCCACCACGAGGGATTAGCCAGTCTAAATGTCAGTGGTGCCAAGGGCTAGAACTAAAGTGATTTTCCTCCTCTAAGAAGTCTCCTTCAACATGGTGATGTAGGACCCAAAGTCAATTTGTTGCAGATACTTTCAACTTTCTTTAGCCTGTTTTTTAAAAAATCATGCTGCTTACCCATTTAATGAAGAAGATAACTGGGATCACTAGAAAGGTCAGCTCAACCTTGTTAAAAGGCCACTTATTTAAGGATTTTGAAAAGCAGTTTCAGAATTATACTGATTTTGTACTCTACCAACAGAGTGGAACACATTTTAGGCGAAAGTACATTTTATTTTTTCAGAAGACCAGAGTGGTTCCCTCGAATTTTTCTTTTAATATATTTCTAAAAATTTGTTTGTAGAGATAGGGTCTCACTATGTTGTCCATGTTGGTCTCCAACTCCTGGCCTAAGCGATCCTCTCACCTCAGCCTCCCAAACTACTGTGATTACAGGTATAACCCATGCCCAGTCTTGCAAACCTGTGTATTACGCCTGGTTCTAGTTTAAGAAGTCTGTTAAATTGTCCTTGGGTTGGTTATTTGTGTCACATCTTAGGGGAACTGAAATGGTTTGGCTGTGTCCCTACCCAAATCTCATGTGGAATTGTAATCTCAATGTGTCGGGGAGAGGCCTGGTGGGAGGTGACTGGATCATGGGGGCGGTTTATGCCATGCTGTTCTCATGATAGTTCTCATGAAATCTGATGGTTTAAAAGTGTGGCACTCCCCACTTCACTCTTTTTTCTGCTGCCATGTAAGATGTGCCTTGCTTCCCCCTCATCTTCCACTGTAAGTTTTCTGAGGTCTCCCCAGCCATGTGGAACTGTGAGCTATTAAACCTCTTTTCTTTGTAAGTTACCCAGTCTCTGTTTTGTTTTTTGAGACAGAATCTCTCTGTGTCACCTAGGCTGGAGTGTAATGGCACAATCTTGGCTCACTGCCACCTCTGCCTCCCGGCTTCAAGTCTGCCTCAGCCTCCTGAGTAGGTGGGATTCCAGGCACATGCCACCACGCTCAGCTGATTTTTGTATTTTTAGGAGAGACAGGGTCTTGTCATGTTGGCCAGGCTGGTCTTGAACTCCTGACCTCAGGTGTTGCACCTGCCTTGGCCTGGAAAAGTGCTGGGATTACATGCATGAGCCATAGTACCCAGTTTCTGGTAGTTCTTTGTAGCAGTGTAAAAACAAACTAATACAGGGATCCAACTAATTGAGTGTAACTGCATACCCATAGCAAGAGGAGGAGGAGAATGGATGAGACTCAAAGGATTCTGGCAAAAGTGATTTTAGTATTTTTCTTAAATGCCTATTTCCAGACACAAGCCAACCTTATCTGCTGTGTTCAACTGAAGAGCTGCTGAGGATATTATATACAAATTTCAATTTTCATCTTTCCCAGAGATTGCCAATTTTTGCATAAAGCTTCTATGATCTTCATTAACCTAATTCAGAATTGCTAAAATAATTTATCTTAATTTATGTTCAAGAAATACCTATGTGTTCTAGTAAACTCACCTTGAATAAATTTAAGCTTAAATACAGGCATGTGGATTGATTTTCTTCCTCAGTGCTGTGGGTTTCTGAAAAGCAGGCATAAACAGAACCATTCCATGGAAAGAGGCCATTGGACAGATCATGGAAGCTGGAAAGAATTCTGTGCAGATTTTTGTATTCACTTTTTACCTCTTCTGGAAATTAGCAATTAGCAAGCTATTACCCCCTTTTTGTTTTCTTTGAGACAGAGTCTCTGCTGCGCAGACTGGAAGGCAGAAGTGCCATCATGGCTCACTGCAGCTTTGAACTCCCTGGTCTCAAGCAATCCTCCCACCTCAGCCTCCTGAGTAGCTAGGATCACAGACATACACCACTATGCCTGGCTAACTTTTATTTTTAGGAGAGACAGAGTTTCTCTATGTCGGCCAGCCTGGACTCAAACTCCTGGACTCAAGCGATCCTCCCACCACGGCCTCCCAAAGTGCTGGGAAGGCCAGCAGTTGGGAGGTCAAGATGGGAGGATCACTTGGGAAGTTGACTTTTTTAAGAGCTAATGTTCATTGATGGTTTACTACACCCCAGGCACCTTACAATGTGTTTTACATACAGTAAGTCCTTCAAACCTCACAACAACCCTATGAAGTGGGCAGCAGTATTACACCTCCATGTTTCAGACGAGGAAACTGACCCAGAGAGACCCACTAAAGCTATGTACATGGATGACACAGTTGGGAAAAGGCAGAGCCAGGACTAAGACCCAGGATCCTCCTCCAGAGCACATACGCTTCACCGTCACACAAGTCAGTCATCCTGGCAGTCACTGTAATCTGGGGAGAAGAGGTGGAGAAACCAAGTAGGGTGAACAGCAGAACACAGTCCTCACCTCTAAAGGAACTTACCTTGCAAGGCTTCTGTTTGAAAGGTGAACTGCTTCGGTATTGCAAACACCTGACTTACAAACCATCTCAAACAGCCCTCTTAAACTTGCCTTGTAGGGCTGGCTGTACTTTGAGTAGTTTCATGACTAGCAATGGGCTATTTATTTAAAAGTCGACAAAAGGCCAGGTGAGGTGGCTCATGCCTGTAATCCCAACACTTTGGGAGGCCTAGGTGGGCAGATCACTTGAGGCCAGGAGATTGAGACCAGCCTGGCCAACATAATAAAACCCCGTCTCTACTAAAAATACAAAAAAATTAGCTGGGCATGGTGACACACGCCTGTAATCCCAGCTACTCGGAAGGCTGAAGCATGAGAATCACTTGAACCTGGGAGGTGGAGGTTGCAGTGAGCTGAGATCAAGCCTCTGCACTCAGCCTGGGCAACAAAGTGAGACTCTGTATAATTAAAAAAAAAAAAAAAAAAAAAAAACCTCAAGGAAGGCAGAGGTAATATAAGGTAGGAGGAGAGGAGGTGAGCAGATGCCAAGGTTGAACCAGTAAGCTGCTGTGGTTTTCCCCTTGCCCTAAAGTCTCACCTTTTCTCACCAAGTCATCAACTGCCTTCCTTTTCCCACCTAATTACATACCTCAAAATTGACTAATTCATTCTTTCTTTTTTTTTTTTTTTTTTTGAGATGAAGTCTCACTATGTCGCCCAGGCTGAGTGCAGTGGCTTGATCTCGGCTCACTGCAACCTGCACCTCCCGGGTTCAAGCAATTCTCCTGCCTCAGCCTCCCAAGTAGCTGGGACTACAGGCGTGTGCTACCACACCCAGCTAATTCTTTTGTCTTTTTAGTAGAGATGGGTTTCACCGTCTTAGCCAGGATGGTCTTGATCTCTTGGCTTCGTGATCCTCCCGCCTCAGCCTCCCAAAGTGCTGGGATAACAGGAGTGAGCCACCTGCCTGGCCTGTTTCTTCTGAGTTCTATACTTGCCCCTGCCTCATGGCCTTTGCCTTTGCTGTTCTCTCTGCCTGGATGTTCTTTCCCTAGATCCCTCCCTGGCTGGTTCTTCCTCCTCCTGGGTTCAACCCAAAAGTTCATTCCTCAAAAAGACCTTCCCTGACCTTAGCTACCTTCTTGGTCTCAGAGCTTACCACTATCTGCAGTGATCTGTTGGATCCCTCTCTCCCCTAACTGGAATGTAAGGGTGTCAGGGCAGGGACCATGACTGCTCTGTTTCACAGTCACCAGTCAGAGAAACACTGGCACATTGTAGACACTCAGTATTTGGTGAAATAATGCAAGGATTTTTTTTTTTTTTTTTTTTTTGAGACGGAGTTTCACTCTTGTTACCCAGGCTGGAGTGCAATGGCGCGATCTCGGCTCACCGCAACCTCCGCCTCCTGGGTTCAGGCAATTCTCCTGCCTCAGCCTCCCGAGTAGCTGGGACTACAGGCACGCGCCACCATGCCCAGCTAATTTTTTGTATTTTTAGTAGAGACGGGGTTTCACCATGTTGACCAGAATGGTCTCGATCTCAGATTTTTTTTTTTTTTTGGTGAAAATTCTGTGAGTGCGATCATGAAACAGTTCATAAATGTGGGAATTAGATCATTTCCTTTGCTTTCCTGGGCTGCTGAAAATTCCACTCTCAATGTGCCTTCCTTAGCTTGAAGAGGAAGCTGCTGCCTGAAGACCCACTTTTTTTTTTTTTTTTTTTTGAGACGGAGTTTCGCTGTTGTTACCCAGACTGGAGTGCAATGGCACGATCTCGGCTCACCACAACCTTCGCCTTCTGGGTTCAAGCAATTTTCCTGCCTCAGTCTACCGAGTAGCTGGGACTACAGGCGTGCACCACCATGCCCAGCTAATTTTTGTATTTTTAGTAGAGACAGGGTTTCACCTGGTTGACCAGGATGGTCTCAATCTCTTGACCTCGTGATCCACCCGCCTCGGCCTCCCAAAGTGCTGGGATTATAGGCATGAGCCACCACGCCCAGCCTTTTTTTTTTTTTTTTTTTTTTTGTGATGGAGTTTCCCTCTTGTCGCCCAGGCTGGAGTGCAATGGCGCAATCTCCGATCACTGCAATCTCCGTCTCCCAGGTTCAAGCAATTCTCCTACCTCAGCCTCCTGAGTAGCTGCCACCATGCCTGGCTAATTTTTGTATTGGCCAGGCTGGTCTTGAACTCCTGACCACAGGTGATTTGCCTGCCTCAGCTTCCCAAAGTGCGGGGATTACAGGCATAAGCTACCATGCCCAGCCTCTGAAGACTCACTTCTACTACATACCTGTCATAGGTAGAAACCAGCCCTAGGCACCTGCTGCCCTCTGAGAGTCCTGGAAGGTGCTCTGTCCTTGGCCTTTGGGCCACATTCCATGGATTCCTGGTGAAGTCTCACTTTTCCCTTCCCTTCCACAAAAAGAGGAAAGAAACAGAACTTAATGGCTAGACACAGTGGCTCAAGCCTGTAATCCCAACACTTTGGGAAGCTAAGGCAAGAGGGTCACTTGAGGCCAGAAGTTTGAGACCAGCTTGGGAAACAGTGATACCCCATCTCTCCCCCTCCCATTCCCCCACCAATGAATTTTATTACTTTCTCCTGCTAGGCTTGCCATATTGATAATGTTTTATACTCCTGCTATTTCAACCATACTTCAGCCTTTAATTCTCACAATAACCCCATAAAGTAGGTACTACTTTATCATCATCACCACCATCCCTCCTTTCTACAGAGGTACCTGGGGCTCAGAGAGGTTGATGAACTTATGCCACTCAGCTGGATTCGAAGCCCTGCAGCCTGGCTCTGGAGCCAGCCTCTTAAACACTGCCCAGATCTAGCCTGGCACCGTGGCTCATACCTGTAACCCCAGCACTCTGGGAGGCGAAGGCAGGCAGATTGCTTCAGACCAGGATTTCAAGGTGACCCTGGGCAACACAGTGAGACTTTGTCTCTATTATTTATTTATTTATATGTTTTTTTGAGATGGAGTCTGGCTGTGTCGCCCAGGCTGCAGTGCAGTAGCACAATCTTGGCTAACGGCAACCTTGGCCTTCCAGGTTCAAGTGATTATCGCGCCTAAGCCTACCGAGTAGCTGCAATTACAGACGTCAGCCATTGAGTTCAGCCTTGTCTTTATTTAAATCAATAAATAACTGCCAGGCGCGGTGGCTCACGCCTGTAATCCCAGCACTTTGGGATGCTGAGGTGGGCAAATCACGTGAGGTCAGGATTTTGAGACCAGCCTGACCAACATGGCGAGACCCCATCTCTACTAAAAATATAAAATTATCCGGGTGTGGTGGTGCATACCTGTAATCCAAGCAACTCAGGAGACTGAGGCAGGAAAATCAGTTGAACCTAGGTGGTGGAGGGTGCAGTGAGCCGAGATCGACCATTGCACTCCAGCCTAGGCAACAAGAGCAAAACTCCGTCCCCAAAAATTAAATAAAATTAAAATAAAAAAATAGGGCCAGGAGTGGTGGCTCACGCCTGTAATCCCATCACTTTGGGAGGCTGAGGCAGGTGGATCACGAGGTCAAGAGATCGAGACCATCCTGGTCAACATGGTGAAACATCGCGCCATTGCACTCCAGCCTGGGTAGCAAGAGCGAAACTCCGTCTCAAAAAAAAAATACAAAAAATTAGCCAGGCACAGTGGTGTACGCCTGTAATCCCAGCTACTCGGGAGGCGGGGGCAGAACTGCTTGAACCCAGAAGGCGGAGGTTGCAGTGAGCAGAGATTGTGCCACTGAACTCCAGCCTGGGTAACAAAGCAAGACTCTGTCTTACAAAAATAAATATATAAATAACTCATAAAAATAAACAAATATAAAGACAACCCTGCATAGTCCACTTTCAGTCTATTTCTTTCACTGCAACCTTGATGCTCCCTTCCGTCTCGCCCAGTAAAGGAATCTCACGCAGGGGAAGGGCTGCTCTGATGTGCTGGAGAGCAGATGGACAGTGCTAAATAATGTGGAGCCCTGGCTGCTGTGGACAGAGAACACACTTAGCACAGGATTAACATTTGCAGGCTCTCAATGTCGGCTCACATGCTCTGACGGTCAACATTTAAAAGCTATATGTAAAGTTTTTGAATAAGATACACTCTATCTCCCTTCCTTTATAAATGCACCTTTGTAAAGATCTGGATGAGCAGGTCAAAGATAGAATTCTCAGGCTCCTCAGAGCTCCACACCAGAAAGCAGCAACACTGGGGAGCTGGCCCAAGACCAGCACCCTGCTGTCTCCACCTCAGGCACCACAAGGCTTTGCATGAGTGCCTGGATGCCCAGCCCTGCCCAAACACCCTGCAAACCCCTTTCTGACCCCAGTCACCCTTTCAGCATGGGGGTACTCACAAGCTGCTGTGCAGCTTACCCTCTGAAGAAGTGACCCGGGCAAGTGCCTCCACAGGCCAGGGTCCTATGGTTTGGGAATTCCAGGGCCTTGTGCAACTGTAGTGTGGTCTGAAAGGGAGTGACATGTGCTCTGGATGAGCACACCCACTCAGCTCATGGGCAGGAGGGAGCAGCTGGAGGAGGGCCAGGTTGATTCTAAAATTCACATTGCTCTGGGCAGCCTGTATTTTATTTGCTAAATCTAGCAACCCTAAATTGTGTGCTGGGTGGTGGTAAGTAGGCAATTTCAGGTAGGCCTCTTTGTGGAGCTGGAACCTAAATGTAAAGAAGGGGCCAATCATTCAGGGATCTAGAACATCCCAGACAGCAAGTATAAATGCTCTGAAGTGGAAATAAGCTTGGAGCTTAGAGGAACAGAAAGAAGGTGGGGTGGCAGAGCTGAATGAAGGTTAGCAGAGGAGGGAAGTGGAAGATGATGAGGGCAGGCGCTGGCAGGGACCAGATCATGTAGGGTTTGTGGGCTGCAATAAAAGTACCAAAAAGTTACATACCATACTCCCTCTAAAATAGAAGCTCCATGAGGGGCGGGAAGTTCTCTTCCCTATGAGACCCTATGTGCATGACCTTGGATCGTTCAACATTGAACCGCCTACGTGCCAAGCCCTGACATCGAAATAGGTCACATGCCAGCAGCCACTCGCTGAATCTGCGTTCCTCTTTGGAAATCCGGACTCCTGAAGCCTGTTAGAATGGTCAGAGCCAAAGGGCATTGTCACTCGTGACGTCAGCGTAAAAACAGCGAGGCCCCGATTGGCCCTTCGAACCTGGGTGGGGTTAGAACATTCCTGGCCCCGCCCTCTTCCGCGGCCCGCTCGCGCATGCGCTCTGGCATCAGCCTAGCTGTCGCGCCATTTTGCCGGGGTTTGAATGTGAGGCGGAGCAGCGGCAGCAGCGAGTAGTACCAGCTACAGTCCGCGGCCTGGGTTCCCTCCTCTGTTTCTGTATCCCCACGAGGTGAGGCGCGGGGCGTGCACGGCCTATCAGAGTGGCTTTTGGGGCCCAGCTGAGGAAGGGAAGAAGCGCTCCTGGTACTTCCGAGCGCTATGGAGTGAGAACCGCATCTCTGGGCGAGAACGGAATGTGGGTCCGGGGCTCGGGCGGTGCGCTCAGGCAAGGTCTTCGCCTCCTCAGGCAGCGCTTGCCACGCCTTGTGGCGTCCTAGGTCTCCGGCCTAAGTCCGGCGGCCCCGGGGCCTGTGAGGGGTGAGAGCAGCTGAGGCGCGGCCTAACGCGAGCCTGCGGATTGCCCGCCCTTTCCTCTCTATCACGGCGCTGACTGGCTCCGCCGCCGCCTCGCCGCTCGGGAAGGCCGCTCCTTATTGGTCGCGCCTGCGTGTCCATTCTCCGCGCACGGGGCCGCTAGCAGCGCTAGCTGGGTGTGCGGCGGCTAGGCCTGCCCAGGCGGGGACTGCGGGCGCGTGGAGCTGTGGCTGCCTTGCGGTCGCCCCTTTCCCTAACTCTAGTGAAGCCCCCTAACTCACCCCTCTCTAACCTCTGTACTTGAATCTCTGACTGTAAAACGGGCATCGTGAGCTCACTTGACTGGAATTGTTTGTGAGAATTCTAGTCGATACACGCGGGACATAGAAATGCCGTGTAACATGGGGATTCCCACATTTTGGGAGAAACGCTATCATAAACTTTGGAATTAGATCGTCTGTGTTCATTCCAGACGTAGCCTGTCTCTAAGGGTGTAACTTGGGGCGGGTCACCTCACCTCACTGAGCCTCCATTTCCTTAGCTGCTAAATGGGATTAATAACGGAATCTACCTAGTAAAGTGGCTGAGGGTGCGCTGAGTTATTTACGGTGGTTTACGAAGGTTTCTCAGGAGCTGACCATTGTTCATTCAGCTCTCCCGCCCATCTTTCTCCTTAGCCACTGTGGCTTTCTGTTTCTTCCCTATTCCAGGCTTATTTCTATTTAAAGTTATTTGCACGTGCCTTTTATTTGCTGGCAAATTGTCAACGTCATATCTTTGGAAGGCAGGCCCCCTCTCCCAAGTTTCCCTCACCTTAGGCCTCCTCTAATGAACCTCTTTTTTTCTTCCTTTTTTTTTCCCCGCTTTTCAGAGAGTCTTGTTATTTTGCCCAGGCTGGAATCGTAGTGGTGCGATCTCAGCTCACTACAACCTCCGCCTCCTGGATACAAGCTATTCTGCCTCAGCCTTCCGAGTAGCTGGGATTACAGGTGTGTGCCACCATGCCCGGCTCATTTGTGTATTTTTAGTAGACAGGCTTTCACCATGTTGGCCAGGGTGCCCAACCAGCCTCTCTAGGACCTTTGTCTCCCACAGCTGTCCATCAACATCACTTGGTTTTAGTTACTTCATGGCATTTACTAACAATTACTTTTTGCTTACTTGTTTATTGCCTTTCTCAACTGCTAGAATGTAAGCTCTTTGAGAGCAAGGACCTTGTCTGTCTTGCTTCTCTCTCCCTGGTGGGTGCCACCCCACCTTTGTTTGCCGCATGGTAGATGCACAAATATTACTCTTCCTTGGAGGCACAGAAGGGGACCCTTTCCTCTTGGATTCCAACAGTTGCTCTTTTTCTCCTCACCTTGGGCCAACATAGTTAGATTTTTGGCCTTTCTTTGTGTGTCTACATTTTTTTTTCATGCTTTCAGAGGATCTTAATGAATCTAGTCTCTCCCCTCCTATCTTTTATCTTTTTTATCTTTCACTTCTTTCCATCAGTGCAAGGAAAGTCTCTCTCCCTTTCTGATTACTTCTACTGGTTGGGGTTTGGAACAGAGGACTGGATGGATGCAAAAGCAATACTCTGGTTTTGGAATTAATTTGTTTCTTTACTCATTTAATAAGTTTATTGAGCATCCACTTAATCTCTGGGAATATAGTGAAAAAACAAAAATGGACAAGTTCTCTTGCCTTAAAGGAGCTTGTGTTCTCATGGGTGAAAGAGAAAACATTAGATAATTTCAGATAGTGGATAGAATGATGTGACAGATGAAGAAGGCTTCTCTGAGGAGGAAACATTTGCGTGGAGACCAGCCATTAAAAGGTGAGGGGAGGCCGGGCGCGGTGGCTCAAGCCGGTAATCCCAGCACTTTGGGAGGCCGAGGCGGGTGGATCACGAGGTCAAAAGATCAAGACCATCCTGGTCAACATGCTGAAACCCCGTCTCTATTAAAAATACAAGGCCGGGCGCGGTGGCTCAAGCCTGTAATCCCAGCACTTTGGGAGGCTGAGGCGGGTGGATCACGAGGTCAACAGATCGAGACCATCCTGGTCAACATGGTGGAACCCCGTCTCTACTAAAAATTACAAAAAATTAGCTAGGCACGGTGGCGCGTGCCTGTAATCCCAGCTACTCAGGAGGCTGAGGCAGGAGAATTGCCTGAACCTAGGGGGCGGAGGTTGCGGTGAGCCGAGATTGCGCCATTGCACTCCAGCCTGGGTAACGAGCGAAACTCCGTCTCAAAAAAAAAAAAAAAAAAAAAATACAAAACATGCCGGGCGCGGTGGCTCAAGCCTGTAATCCCAGCACTTTGGGAGGCCGAGACCAGTGGATCACGAGGTCGAGAGATTGAGACCATCTTGGTCAACATGGTGAAACCCCGTCTCTACTAAAAATACAAAAAATTAGCTGGGCACGGTGGTTTGTGCCTGTAATCCCAGCTACTCGGGAGGCTGAGGCGGGAGAATTGCCTGAACCCAGGAGGCGGAGGTTGCGGTGAGCCGGATCGCGCCATTGCACTCCAGCCTGGGTAACAAGAGCAAAACTCCGTCTCAAAAAAAAAAAAAATGCAAAACATTAGCTGGGCATGGTGGCGCGTGCCTGTGATCCCAGCTACTCAGGAGGCTGAGGCAGGAGAATTGCCTGAACCCAGGAGGCGGAGGTTGCGGTGAGCCGGATTGCGCCATTGCACTCCAGCCTGGGTAACAAAGAGCGAAACTCCGTCTCAAAAAAAAAAAAAAAAAAAAGGTGAGGGAAGACCATTCCAGGTGGAGGGAATAGAATGTGCAAAGGCTCAAGAACAGGAACTGGCTTGGAATACTGAAATATTAGAGGAACATCTTAGGTTCCTAGAGTGTTGTGTGAAGAAGGGTGAAGTATCCAGGTCCCAGATCATAGAGAGCTTTGTAGGCAATGTAAGGAGTTTGGATCTGATTCTAACTGGTATATTCCTTTAATGAGAAAGCAGAGAGTAGGTTGACGTGTTGGGATATGTTCTTGATATTTGAGTGCCAGATAGTTTTTATTTATTGGATCTCTTTCCCTCTTCCCAAATGTAAGGGAATGGTTCTCTAATGTGTTAAGGAAGTATCTAAGAAAAAGGCACACATCTTGGATCAGCTTATGTCACAGATGTCTGTGAGATGGCCTCGGAAAGCAAAACTTTTATTCCAGAAATCATCACCTATAACTGAGGGCCTGTGGGAAGATGCTAGACTTAGGTCTGGCCATTCATTCAACAAGAAGAACTTGGAAATTTAGATGTCTGTCATAACTGATTTATTGTGGTACATTAAAAAAATTTTTTTTAATCGTATATTGGTAAGGATTTCCAAAGGTAGTTCCATGAAGAAAGAAAAGTATCAGCCAGGCGCGGTGGCTAATGCCTGTAATCCCAGCACTTTGGGAGGCCGAGGCGGGTGGATCATGAGGTCAAGAGATCGAGACCATCCTGGTCAAGGTGAAACCCCATCTCTACTAAAAATACAAAAATTAGCTGGGCATGGTGGTGCGCGCCTGTAGTCCCAGCTACTCGGGAGGCTGAGGCAGGAGAATTGTTTGAACCCAGAAGGTGGAGGTTGCGGTGAGCCGAGATCGTGCCATTGCACTCCAGTCTGGGTGACAACAGTGAAACTCGGTCTCAAAAAAAAAGAAAAGAAAAGTATCACCCTCTTATTTAAAGGTGATAAAATGAATTCTTCTCTCTCTCTGTTTTTTGTTTTGTTTTGTTTTTCGAGACGCCATCTCACTCTGTTGCCTAGGCTGACCTGGGCTGAGGCCATCCTCCTGCCTCAGACTCCCCAGTATGTAAGACTACAGGCGTGCACCATCACACTCAACTAATTTTTGTGTATTTTTTGTAGAGATGGGGTTTCATCATGTTGCTCAGGTTAGTCTCAAACTCCTGGACTCAAGCAATCTGCTAACCTCAGCTTTCCAAAGAGCTGGGATTACAGGCATGAACCACCCCACTTGGCCAAAATGAGTTTTTTGTTTCTAGTTTGAGTCATTTTAGATCAGTAACACTTTTTGCATTTATATATTGCTAATATTTCAGAGGGTAGTCAAATAAGATAATTAGACGTTGATCTTGTTGATAATTGTGAATACCTATAGAAGGTTCTCTAAAAGTCACTGATTTCACTTATTTTCTCAAATCAAGGATAAGCTTAGAATTTGGTTTTATAGACTTTATCAGTAAGGCAATATAAAAAGGATTTGTTGACATGCTTAGTTCTTAAAGAGTATTCCCAAAGAATAATATTTGGAGGCCAAGGTGGGCGGATCACTTGGGCTCTGGAGTTCCATGCCAGCCTGGGGAACATGGGAACCCCTGTCTACAAAAATTAGCCAGTGGTGGTGTGTGCCTGTAGTCCCAGCTACTTGGGAGGCTGAGGTAGGAGGATGGTTTGAACCCAGGAGGCTGAGGTTTCAGGCAAAATTGTACCACTGCATTCCTCCAGCCTGAGCAACAGCCAGACCTTGTCTCAAAAAATAGTAAGATCTAGAGTCTGTGTAGTATTTTAACTTCGAGGGATTATAACATGTATATTTATGTAACCCCACACTTTTTTTTT